GCACATATTATCTGACACAAAACCATAAAAAACAGAGCTCAGATGCCTCATCAAGGAAGAAGATTAGGTCCTTCAGAATACAAACATTGCCGGAGGCATGGACATCCCCATGCTTCATCGTTCCTGCTTAGTTGGGGCTGAGACGAGGCCCAAGGTTGCCTGTGGCTAGCACCACGTAGTCACAGTGTTTGCTTCTGTGTGGGCACAGTCCTGTGTGTGTGTAAGTGTACTCGGTATGTGTGTGATGCGGGGCGTGTGTGTGTGAGTGTGTGTGGTGTGCATGTTTGTTACAGCATTTCTCGGCTACTCCGCTGGGGATCATGGCAGCAGGGCTGACTCTGTTGGGTCTATTTCTGAAGCTGCTGCTCATCAGATGCCACAAACACTTGTCCCTGAAAAATTACCATTAAGAAAATGAAAATAGAAGACACAGATACAAATAAAATATTGACAAATCATATTCTTGTATCCAGAGTACATAAAGAACTTTCAAATCTCAATTATGAGAAAAATGACCAAGTTTTTAAATGGGCAAAAGATTTGAACAAACTGTTTACCAAGATGGACCTGTGGGTGGCAAATAAGCACATGGAAAGATGGTCGACCTGGCCCTGGCTGGGTGTCTCATTTGGCTGGAGCATCGTCCTGTGCACCAAAGGTTGTGGGTTCGATTCCCAGTCAGGGCACATACCTAGGTTCTGAATTTGATTTCTGATTGAAGTGCATACAGGAGGTACCCAATCGATGTTTCTCACATCGATGTTTCTCTCTCTCTCTCTCTCTCTCTCTTGCTTCTCTCTAAAATCAATAAAAACATATCCTCAGGTGAGAATTAGAAAAAAAGATGGTTTACCTCATTTGTCTCTAGGGGGTGCCAGTGAACAGCAGAAGGTGCCCTACAGATTGTGAGGCTAAAATCAAAAGACCAACAGTACCAAGTGTTGGCGAAGCTGTAGGGAAATGGGAAGTCTCACACATTGCGAGTGGAAAAGTAAAATTACACCACTCAGAAAACAGTTTGGCATTTTCTCAAAAACTGAAATATACATTTATCATAGGAAGCAGCAATCCCATCCCTGGCGTTTTACAAAATGGAAGTGAAAAAAACAGGTACACAGGTCACTGGAGTTGGGAGGGTACGTGCTGTCCCACAGTGAGGTCCTGTCCTTGGACCCAGGAGACTCTAAGGTACTACTCTACTCAAAACCAACTAAAAATTAACTTGAATTTAGTGTAAGATAAGCTCAACGTCAACAACTTAGATTTTGTGTATTTTCGTTTATCTTCACCGTAAACAGATCACAACCTGAGTTTATCTGCACATAGGTAAATTGTAATCTTACTAGAGTAATTTTATCTGAAAATTAGCTGTTTCTCTTCTTAAACTGTCTTGCTTTAAAAATTCTTCCTTAGTGTAAGATTATACAAATATCCTCCATGTTCTTGGCTAATTTTATTATTTTTATTTTCTTTATATTTTGATTTCCAAATTATCTTGAATTTGTGTTTTCATTCATTGAGATAGGAGCTAAGGTTATTCTATCACAACATCACTATTGGTCACCACGTTGCCCTTCCTCATCAAAGTGATAGGCCCCTTTCCTGACCCCCTCCCCCCCCATTCCCATGGTCACGGGTCTCAGATCTGCCTCTAGACACGGTGTCTGTCTCACGGCTTCACGTCCCACGGCAGCTCAGTGCTGTTTTGATACCAGGGCTTTTATTCAGCTACCTTTTATATCTGGTAGGTGAATCCCCCTCTTTTTTTTTTTTAATCCTTATCCAAGGACATTTTTTTTTGTTTGTTTGCATTTATCTTCAGATAGAGTGGGAGAGGGATAGGGACGGAGGGAGAGAGAGAAACATCCATGTAAGAGAGACACATGGAGTGGTCACCACCCACACAACCCCAACCGGTGCCGGGAACAAACTGCAACTGAGGTACGTGCCCTTAGCGGGAACCGAACCCGGGACTCTCTGGTCTGCGGGCCAACGCTCTAACCGCTGAACCAAACCGGCCAGGGCGGTGAATCCCCCTCTTGAGATTTTTTTATTTTTTATTACTTTGACAATTCCTTCACATATTTATTTTTCCACCTCAACTTTAAAATCATTTTTGTGTGGTTTCCAGAAACCTGGCATTTAACCTGGACTTACATTAAATACAGGCACACTCCGTTTTACCTTATTATGCTTCACAGATTAAAAGTAGTAGGGTTCTAGGGGGGTGAGGGGCAGGATGGGGAGGAGGGGGTCTGAGGGGGAAAGGAGAAACATCTGTAACAAAAATAAAGTAATAAAAATTGAAAACAAAAAGTAGTAGGGTTAACGTGCTCTGAGAGATAAATAGGATCTACACTCAGGACCAGGACGTCATGGAAATAGAACAGGGGGTTGGGAACAGCACTGATCAGAATTCCAACAATGAAAACATGCAACCCAGTGATGGGTGTCCACTCAGTAGAGGCTGCAGGAGGGCTGGTGTTTCTCTAGTGTCCACAAAACTGTGTTGTTTTATAAGTGGAAGTTATTTTGCAAATCTGCATCCCACAAATCTATTACCACTGTCTTTTCAACAGCATTTGTTCATTTTTGTCACTGGTTCACATTTTGGTAATTCACATAATATTTCAAACCTTGTCATGATTGTTATACTGTTTTTTTTTTACTATGATCGGTGATCTGTGATCAGTGCTCTTTGATGTTCCTACCGTAATTGGTTCAGGGCGCCACAAACTGCACTGGTATAAGACGACACATTTGATCGATAAATGTTGTGTGTATTCTTACTGCTCCCCCAACTGTCCACTCCCCCTCTCCTCAAGCCTCCCTATTCCCCAAGACACAGCAGTGTTGAAATTAGGCCAGTTAGTAGCCTGACAATGGTTTCTAAGTGTTTAAGTGAAGGAAAGAGTCCCAGTTCTCTCACTTTAAATCAAATCTTAGTGAGGAAGATTTGAAAGCCGACACAGGCTGCAAGCCGGGCCCTTGCACCAGTCAGCCAGCCAAGCTGTGAGTGCAAAGGACACGTTCTTGAAGGAAGTGGAAAGTGCTGCCCCAGTGAACACACACATAATAAGGAAGTAAAACAGCCTTACTGCTGATGCGGAGAAAGTTTTAGTGGTCTAAATAAAAGATCAAACAAGCCACAGCATTCTGTTAAGCCAAAGCCTAATCTAGAGCAAGACCCTAACTTCAATTCTATGAAGGGCTGAGAGAGGTGAGGAGCCTGCGGAAGAAAAGCAGAAGCGAGCAGAGGTTGGTCCATGAGGTTCAAGTTAAGAAGCCGGCTCCACAACATAAAAGCGCAAGATGAAGCAGCAAGTGCTGAGCTAGAAGCCGTAGTAAGTTATGCAGAAGACCTGGCTAACATAAGCAATTAAGGTGGCTACACTAAACAACAGACTTTCAATGCAGACAAAGTAGGCTCTATATTGGAAGAAAATGCCAATATAGCTAGAGAGGAGAATTCAATGCCTGGCTTCAAAGCATCAAAGGACAGGCTGACTCTCTGTTCGGGGCTAATGCAGCCAGTGACTTTAAGCTAAAACTATTGTTCATTTACTACTCTGAAAATCCTAAAGCCCTTAAGAACATGCTAAGTCTACTCTGCCGGTGCTCTGTGAATGGACAGCAAAGCCTGAGTGACAGCACTTCTGTCTCCACGTGGTTTACTGAGGACTTTAAGCCCACTGCTGGGACCTACTGCTCAGAAGAAAAGATTTCTTTCAAGCTGGGACTGCTCATTGACAATGCTCCTGGTCACCCAGGGGCTCTGATTAATGTTGTTTTCATGCCTGCTAACACAATATCCATTCTCTACCCGTGGATCAAGGGGTAATTTCAACTTTCAAGTCTTCTTATTTAAGAAATGAAAAGCTCAAGCTGCCATAGAGACCCCTCCGATGGATCTGGGCCAAGTAAACGGAGAGCCTCTGGAAAGGATTTGCCTTCTTGATGCCGTTAAGAACATTCGTGGTCCGTGGGGAAAAGCCAAACTATCAACATTAACAAGAGTTTGGAAGAGGTTCATTCCAACCCTCATGGATGACTTTGAAGAGGAAGTAACTGCAGATGTTGTGGAAAGAGCCAGAGAACTCGAGTTAGAAGTGGAGCCTGAAGATGTGGCTGAACTGCTGACATTTTATGATAAAACCTTAACAGATGAGGAACTGCTTTGTGTAGATTAGCAGAGAGAGACTCTGTTTTTCAAATGGCATATCTGCTGGCGAAGATGTAAGGATTGTTGAAATGACAGCAAGGCAGTTCAAAAGTTTCATAAACTTAGTGAATAAGGCAGCAGCAGCAGCTCTGAGGAGATGGACTCATTCTGAAAGAAGTTCTGCTGTGGGTAAAACGCTGTGAAACAGAATCACAATCTACAGGGAAGGTGTCCATGAAAGGAAGAATCAGTGGATGCAGAAACTTGATTGTTGTGCCCTGGCCGGTTTGGTTCAGCGGTTAGAGCGTCGGCCTGCGGTCCTGAGAGACCCGGGTTCGGTTCCCGCTAAGGGCGCGTACCTCGGTTGCAGTTTGTCCCCGGCCCCAGTTGATTGTGCGGGTGGCAGCCACTCGATGTGTTCCTTTCTTATCGATGTTTCCCTCTCTCTCTCTGTTCCTCTCTCTCCCTCCCACTCTAACTGAACAAAAAATGGAAAAATGTCCTCGGGTGAGGATAAACAAAACAAAAAAAAAGAAACTTGATTGTCGTATTTTAAGAAATTGCCACGGCCACTCCAACTCTCAGCAGTCACCACCCTGATCAGTCAGCAGCCGTCCACGTCGAGGAAAGACCCCCCTGCTGGCAAAAAGATTACAACTTGCTGAAGTCTCAGATGATGGTCAGCACGTTTTAGCAATAATGCATATTTAAATGAAGGTATAGACATGTTTTAGACATGACGCTATTTCACACTTAATAACCTACAGTATACAGTAAACATAAATTTTATATGCACTGGGAAACCAAAATATTTATGCGACTTGCTTTATTGCAATGTTTGCTTTATTTTGTTGTGTTGGAACAAAAGTATAATATCTCCAGGTATGCTGATATACACCTTTACATGGGGACCATCACAGCTTCACATATGTGCACAGTGATGACCCAGAATGTCAGTCTGCCCTAACTGATCAAGAAGCCAGAGGTGTCAGCAACACCCTTCCGGAGGTGTGCCCTGGAAGTTCCTTCCACGCAGTCACAGAAACCCTGCCCTGGGTTGTCCAGCATTCCTGGGCAGAGCATATTGAGCCACGGTTCTCCAGGGATGGGGAAGGCTTAATGTTTCTCCATCCTACAGCCCAACTGGCAAAAAGCCTCCATGAGTCTGAAAAGGTAAGCTTGGAAGAAGTGCACCATTAGTCAATATCTCAACAGCTGAAGATTACTTCAGATTTTCTCTTAGTTTAATAATCAGGGATCATAGTTTAGTGTGAAAAGATCATTTTCTTTCCAATAACCCACGAATTTTTCTTCTAAGTTTAATTCCTTAGAAACCTGATTGGCAATACTATCATAAAATTCTAAATCAGCCCTGGCCGGTTTGGCTCAGCAGTTAGAGCGTCGGCCTGCGGTCCAGAGAGACCCGGGTTCGGTTCCCGCTAAGGGCACGTACCTCGGTTGCAGTTTGTCCCTGGCCCTGGTTGGTCGTGCAGGTGGCAGCTGCTCGGTGTGTTTATTTCACGTCGATGTTTCTCTCTCTATCTTCCTCTCTCTCCCTCCCACTCTACCTGAACAAAAAAATGGAAAAATGTCCTCTGGTGAGGATTAAAAAAAAAAATTCTAAATAGTTTTTGTTTTTTTTATCCTCACCCGAGGACATTTTTTGCATTTATCTTCAGATAGAGAGGGAAATATCGATGTGAGAAAGACACATCGATTGGTTGCCACTCACCCGGGGACTAACCGCAACCGAGGTAGGTGCCCTTAGCGGGAATCGAATCTGAAACTCTCTGGTCCCCGGGCGGACGCTCTAACCTCTGAACAAGACCGGCCAGGGCTTCTATGTCATTTTAAAATTCACTTTGAAGTATTGTCTAATTATGGTACTTAAAAAAACAACCACCTAGGGACTTTTTTTTCTTTTATCCTTTTCTGGCAATGATGATAAAAACCTAACTGGAACTAGGATGGTCAAATTACACTCTAAAACCAAATGGAAAACCTTTTTTTTTTTTGTCAGTTTGTCTAAGGAATGCATATTCGTAGTAGAAAATTTGGATCCTGCAAAATTTTCCATTGTGAAATTGAACATCCCAGATAGTCCCCACCCACCAGCAGCCACTGCTGGCATTTTATGTCTTTCAAGTCTTCCTTTTCAATAGTTTTGTCTGTGCATTATACAATGTCTGTGCATTAATTTCTAAAAGTGTAATCATATCGCACAACTGTTCAGAACTCTTTTTACTCCATATAGTATGAACATTGTTAAAAACCAACATGATTTGTATTACTATAAATAATTCCATCTTTGAGTTCTATAATATTTCTCATTTTATGAATATTATTTTTTATTTTCAATCAACTTTTTACTTCTCCAAGTGGAAATCGAGCAGTGCCCGAGAAGCCGAGCAGTGCCCGCGAGCCCCGAGCAGTGCCCGAGAATCCCCAGCAGTGCCCGCGAGCCCCGAGCAGTGCCCGAGAATCCCCAGCAGTGCCCGAGAGCCCCGAGCAGTGCCCGAGAATCCCCAGCAGTGCCCGAGAGCCCCGAGCAGTGCCCGACAGCCCCCAGCAGTGCCCGAGAGCCCCAGCAGTGCCCGCGAGCCCCAGCAGCGCCCAAGAGCCCCAGCAGGGCCCGAGAGCCCCGAGCAGGGCCTGAGAATCCCCAGCAGTGCCCGAGAGCCCCAGCAGTGCCCGAGAGCCCCGAGCAGGGCCAGAGAATCCCCAGCAGTGCCCGAGAGCCCCGAGCAGGGCCAGAGAATCCCCAGCAGTGCCCGAGAGCCCCGAGCAGTGCCCGAGAGCCCCTAGCAGGGCCAGAGAGCCCCAGCAGTGCCCGAGAGCCCCGAGCAGTGCCCGAGAGCCCCAGCAGTGCCCGAGAGCCCCCAGCAGTGCCCGAGAGCCCCGAGCAGGGCCCGAGAGCCCCAGCAGTGCCCGAGAGCCCCGAGCAGTGCCAGAGAGCCCCAGCAGCGCCCGAGAGCCCCCAGCAGGGCCAGAGAATCCCCAGCAGTGCCCGAGAGCCCCCAGCAGTGCCCGAGAGCCCCGAGCAGTGCCCGAGAGCCCCAGCAGTGCCCGAGAGCCCCTAGCAGGGCCAGAGAGCCCCAGCAGTGCCCGAGAGCCCCGAGCAGGGCCAGAGAGCCCCAGCAGTGCCCGAGAGCCCCCAGCAGTGCCCGAGAGCCCCGAGCAGGGCCCGAGAGCCCCAGCAGTGCCCGAGAGCCCCGAGCAGTGCCAGAGAGCCCCAGCAGCGCCCGAGAGCCCCAGCAGTGCCCGAGAGCCCCCAGCAGGGCCAGAGAATCCCCAGCAGTGCCCGAGAGCCCCGAGCAGTGCCCGAGAGCCCCAGCAGTGCCCGAGAGCCCCTAGCAGGGCCAGAGAGCCCCAGCAGCGCCCGAGAGCCCCAGCAGCGCCCGAGAGCCCCGAGCAGGGCCCGAGAGCCCCCAGCAGCGCCCGAGAGCCCCAGCAGCGCCCGAGAGCCCCGAGCAGGGCCAGAGAATCCCCAGCAGTGCCCGCGAGCCCCGAGCAGTGCCCGAGAATCCCCAGCAGTGCCCGACAGCCCCGAGCAGTGCCCGACAGCCCCCAGCAGTGCCCGAGAGCCCCCAGCAGTGCCCGCGAGCCCCAGCAGCGCCCAAGAGCCCCAGCAGGGCCCGAGAGCCCCGAGCAGGGACAGAGAATCCCCAGCAGTGCCCGAGAGCCCCCAGCAGTGCCCGAGAGCCCCGAGCAGTGCCCGAGAGCCCCGAGCAGGGCCAGAGAGCCCCAGCAGCGCCCGAGAGCCCCCAGCAGCGCCCGAGAGCCCCGAGCAGGGCCAGAGAATCCCCAGCAGTGCCCGAGAGCCCCCAGCAGTGCCCGAGAGCCCCGAGCAGTGCCCGAGAGCCCCAGCAGTGCCCGAGAGCCCCGAGCAGTGCCCGAGAGCCCCAGCAGGGCCCGACAGCCCCAGCAGGGCCCGACAGCCCCGAGCAGGGCCAGAGAATCCCCAGCAGTGCCCAAGAGCCCCCAGCAGTGCCCGAGAGCCCTGAGCAGGGCCAGAGAGCCCCGAGCAGGGCCAGAGAGCCCCAGCAGTGCCCGAGAGCCCCAGCAGGGCCCGACAGCCCCGAGCAGGGCCCGACAGCCCCCAGCAGTGCCCGACAGCCCCCAGCAGTGCCCGAGAGCCCCAGCAGTGCCCGAGAGCCCCGAGCAGTGCCCGAGAGCCCCAGCAGGGCCCGAGAGCCCCGAGCAGTGCCCGAGAGCCCCGAGCAGTGCCCGAGAGCCCCCAGCAGTGCCCGAGAGCCCCGAGCAGTGCCCGAGAGCCCCAGCAGGGCCCGAGAGCCCCGAGCAGGGCCCGAGAGCCCCAGTAGGGCCCGAGAGCCCCCAGCAGGGCCCGAGAGCCCCAGCAGGGCCCGAGAGCCCCGAGCAGGGCCCGAGAGCCCCGAGCAGGGCCCGACAGCCCCGAGCAGTGCCCGAGAGCCCCGAGCAGGGCCCGACAGCCCCGAGCAGGGCCCGAGAGCCCCAGCAGTGCCCAACAGCCCCGAGCAGTGCCCGTAATGGGCTGTGCGCCTTTCAAAGCCTTGCGCAGCACCTGCCAGAGCCCCAAACACCTCAGAGAGTCCGGTGTAGGGCCTGAAAAAACTTGGCGCAACGCCTAAAAGAGCCCCAGCATTACCTGGAAGAGCCCTGTAGAGCACCTTGTGGAGCCGGTGCTGTGCCTGGGAGAGACCCACACAACACCTTCGAGAGCCTCCAGCAAGCCTGGGAGAGCCTGGAGCAACACCTTAAAAAAAAGCACGCAACACCTGCCAGAGCCCAACGAAACAGCTCGGAAAGCCCAGTGCAACACTTGTGAGAGCCTCGCAAGATGCCTGGGGGAGCCTGGCGTAACACCTGCTATCACCCCAGTCATCACCTTGGGGAGCCCAGTGCAGCGTCTGGGAGGGCTTCCAAGATGCTTAAAGTGCCCTGTGCAGTGCCTGAAAGAGGCCAGCACAACACTTTGGAATTTGTGTGCTGGGCCTGCCAGAGACCTATGTGACACCTTGGGGACCCCAGTATAGCCCCTCGGTGAGCCCGGCACAAAGCCTATGAGAGCCTCAGGAAGAGCACGGAAGAGCCCTGCGCAACACCTCAGCAGCCCTGCACAGCGCCTGACAGAGCACCTTGTAACAGCTTAGGGAGCTCATTACAGCACCAGAGAGAGCCCCGCACGACTTCTGGGAGGACCTGAGCAGCACACGGAAAAGACCTACGCAACGCCTTGGTGAGCCCAGTGCAGCGCCTGGGAGCCCGCCCCAGTGCCCAGGGAAACCCGAGCAGCCCCTGGAAGAGCCCTGAACAACACCTTGGATGCCCCACACAGCACCTGCAAGAACCCTACACAACTCATTGTGGAACCAAATACAATGCCTAAGAGAGTCCCACACACCCCACCTGGACGAGCCGTGAGCAGTGCCTACAAGAGACCAGCACAAACCATGGGAAGCCCTAAACTGCTCTTTCCAGATCCCCATGCAACACTTCGGAAAGCCCAGTGCAGTACCTACAACAGTCCCATGCAATATTTGGGGGAGCCCAGTGCAGTGCTTGGGAGAGCCCCGCACAAGACCTGGGAGAGCCCCAAGCAGCACCTGGAAGAGCCCCGAGAAGTGCCTAGAAGAGCCCCGCACAACCTTGGGAAGCCTTGCCCAGTGCCTGCCAGAGCCCCACAAAACACTTTCAGGAGCCCCTGCAGCGCATGAGCGAGCCCTAGCAGCGCCTGGGGGAGTTCTGTGCAGCGCCTTAGAAAACGCCACGAAGGCTTCCAGAGCCCAAAGAAACACCGTTGAAAGTCTGGAAGAATAATGGTTTTCTTGGGGAAGTGGGATTATGAAAGGAGGCAGGAAATTCCACTTTCCGCTGTATACACATTGGGGATTTTTATTTCTTTTAGTAAGAAATATATTACTTTCATAATAGTAACATGCGAGAAGAGAGTCCCATTTAGAAAAAATATATACAAGATATATGATATTCGGCCTTTAAGGACTGAGCCCTTCTCTGCGGTGTGCAGGTAAGAACATGAGCCCACAATAACGTCATCTACTGCATGTTGTGACCGGTGGTGGGAGACGGAGCACAGAGCGATGGAATGCATGGTAGCTTCCCTGACCCCAGTGTTTGGAAACAAACCATGTCCAAGGGCAAAAGCGGATGTGTTGGCCAGTGTGGAGCACCAAGGCTA